AAGCCCCCCCCCCCCCAAACAAACATGCGACAGAAACAACAAAACGTGAATGGTGAGACCATCTTACTTATTATGTAACGAAAAAAAAAATTAGGACTAAATCCCAGAACCAGCAAGACGCCTCCTCGACGCATTCGAAACAGAGACTTGTCCCATCTTGTCGGCATTCTTGTCGTCAGGTTCACTCGACAGTGTTCTCTCCCTCACTGGCGTGTAATGCCGCAGCCATACCCCTGTGTACACCTGCATAACCCCGATCCAAGTTTCCATCTTTTTATATCGATCTTTGCGTGTTTCTATCTTCGTTATATCGATCTTTACGAGTACAGATCTGATATGAAGAGGGATAATGCGAGATGGGTGAGCTAACCTGCTGGGGTCTCATGATCTTCGTGTCAGGATCATCCAATGACTCTCGCCAGTGGGACAAGTATCCAGCCATCCTGGGGATTGCGAACAAGACAGTGAAGAACTCTGGCGGAAATCCCATTGCCCTGTTTTCGGAGAACCAGATTAGGCCGTTATTTCAAACACGAGTGATTCAGAGGAAGAAATGAACATAAAGTCCGGTTTATATTTTACCTATATATCAATCCAGAGTAGAAATCAACATTCGGGTATAGCTTTCTCTTCACAAAATAATCATCCGACAGAGCTGCCTTCTCCAGAGCAACGGCTACCTGCAAACATCAGACACATAAATATCTTAAGCCGCGTCCCTTCTAAGAAGATCATCACGAAAACAGAACATGTTTCAGTTAATCTTCTCAAAGAGACTTGACTATGATGACAATGAATATACCTCAATCAGAGGATCCCTTCCAACGATAGAAAACACTTCCTCTGCCAGCTTCTTGATGACTTTTGCTCGGGGATCATAGTTTTTGTAAACGCGATGTCCAAAACCTGACATCTTCCTCTTCCTGGAAATATATAGCGAAAGTGGATGAGAACAATTGATGAGACTACTGACCAGAAATTCAAGTAACTAGTTCTGCAAGAATCAAGTGACCTGTTCTTCACACCCTCGATAAATTCTGGAATATTTTCAACCGTCCCAATCTCCGATAACATCTTAAGCACAGCCTGATGACAACAACAATGGAATAATTTCACAAACCCAGGAACATACAAGCACAAACATAAGTATTAACATTTGGACACTCGTTACGCACCTCATTCGCACCACCGTGAAGTGGACCATACAGAGCTCCAACAGCTCCAGCTACAGCAGTGTACACATCAACACCACTGCAGATACACACACGATTCGGTAAGATATCTCTTAGCAGATTCATAACTGTACCCAAAACCAAAGGGATGTACCTGGAGGCAAGATGCCTGGCAGCAGCAGTGGAGCAATTCATTTCATGTTCTGCATGCAATATGAAAAGGATGTCCAGCACTCGAGCTAGCCGAGGATTAGGTTTGTAAGACCTATTACCCCTGCAATCATTCGAACAAGAGAAACTCATTGTATTAATGCTTTCAGAAACTGTTCAAGCATTCGAAACGGGCAAAGCTTCTTGTGAATGGCTTAGAAGATATCATCAGACACAAATCTTAAATACCCCCAAAGTGACTAACCAAATCAAGAGGAAAAATAGTGGGGACGTACATGGAATCAAGCATATAGAGGAAATTCTCTGCATAAGAAAGGTTGCCTGAAGGAAGTACAGGAGGCCTTCCTGCCAACCTCAAATAAGCAGCTGCAGCAATAGTTGGCGCCTGCAAGCCCATTCGATTTGATAAGCACATTGCAAATCCTTAATCCAAACCCCACATTTAAATTCACACAATTCAGTTATGCGTTTCAGGTGAAAAAGTGAATAAACAGACACAAAGTGAATAAACCCCACATTTAAATTCACACAAATGGCAAAAAGTAACACATACCTTTCCAAGAATACGAACGATCTGTTTGTCTCTAACTTGTTTGGACTTGTAAATATCTTGGCCCTGCACCCAATGAAAGAAGTCCCAAGAAATCAATAAATGGAAAGGAGCATAGCAAGTTCATGAGGACAGTTTAAGAAAACTCGTCTTAACAACATCGACAACAAAATTGTAGACATGTTACTGGACAAAAAGTCAATCCCAACCTACCCGAAGAGCAGGGTTTGCATCAGGATGAAAGATGGAAAGTGCACTAATTGCACTAACAAGAACTCCCATAGGGTGTGCATCATGAGGCATAGACTGTATAATATCCTGCAAGAACATTCATAAGAAATTCTTGAGCCAAACCAAAAATATCCTTTTCATCCTTTTCACTATCACTGGTATATTCTTCACATATCTATAGATCCAAGTTTTGTTAATTGGCTTTACACTTTATCATCGTTCGGTCGCATCACATGTTTTACAATGTTCAAAGAGTCAAGGCCATCACGCACACCTCCAATTGATGACAACACTTACAATGGAGGTAAATCGGGTAATATTAATATACCGCTCATGCAAAGCTTACATGCATAACGAAGAGCTTATGCCAAAGTCTGATTCTGAATTCAGATCTGTACTTAAATAATTCAATGTCTTAAAATCAATCAGCATGTCATGGAAATCCATCCAAATAAAACTCACCAATACTCCTTGCGGCACAGCTGAATGCTGAGAAACTGCAAACTCCCAATCGGCAAGCTGACTTTCAGAAGGAAGATTTCCATACACTGCCACAATAAATATAAATCTGAGGCACTCGTTGAGAACTAAAAAAAGGAAAAACATTTTCATCAAGGCTTAGCTCCCACCTCCACGCAAAAGATTATAGAATCAAAATGACAATACTTAATTCCGTGGATGATAATGACAACATGATCAAACACATGCTTGGCCTCAAAAGTTTACACCCCAAAGAGCAATAAGCAACAATATCACTACAAGCTACAACATGATCTATACTCACTGAGGAGATAAGCAACCTCCACAAAAGTGCTTCTCTCGGCCAACTCCTCAATTGGGTATCCACGATATCGGAGGACTCCTTCATCTCCGTCGATGTAAGAAATCGAAGACCGGACAGGAGCTGTGTTCAAATAACCAGGATCGTATAACTTAAGTCCCTTGTCCTCCTTCCCCGTTGTTATCTACACACCAAACATGCAAATTCCCGTAAACACAACCAACCCAGCTCAAAATTCTTCAATCCAATGTCAAAATTGTTCTCCCTTTCGATAATAAATACGTAACATAGATCGAAATTCAGAGCCAAAAACACCGAAATCACGGCTCATCCATCCACTACTCGTGCTTTCGAAACCCAAAATCACAAATTTTCGACTTCAAAATTACGATCGGACATACCTTCTTGATATCAACGGCTTTAACGGTACCTTCTTCAGAGACCGGGACCTGATATTTCTTCCCCGTGCGCTCGTCGACGATCGTCAGCGTTCCCTTCAGGGATCCATGCGGAGCCATGTTCGCCGACGTGCACCACCGTTCGATCGCAGACGATCCATGTGGCTCAGCCCCCGCCAAGTGTGCCGACAGAACCGCCAATCGAGCTCTCACTCTTTCTGAGATCTCCATTGTAGCAGAACGAAAATATCAAAATCCGAAGAAAGAAACAAAAAGAAAGCGAACAAGCACTTCAAAAATAGACCATTTCTTCTCTCGCTCTCTTTTATATCCTCATGCCAAGCGAGTTCTGCTGCGGGCAGGAGTATGGGACATTGACACGTGTCAAAACTCGAGTGGTTCTGATAAGATCCAACGGTGATAAAGGCTAAGTCATTTTGAGCAAGTTGGATCACTGGATAATATTTCTTCTAGAAGCAAATAATTCAAATCCCGAGAAGCTTATGTGTCAGTATTATCCCGGACACACACCCACTCTCGTAGATCCAACGGTGGACATCACTCTCTGTATAAGCACGCCACATGTCACCGCAATTGGCGAGTGGGATCCACCCGCTAAAAGAGTGCGTGGACGTGGGTTGCTCTCCTCCGTCTGCCAAATCCAATTTGGTTACGCAACGCAATACACCGTGGGCCTATTCATGATATATAGGCCTGAGTTGACAAAATGGGCTTTGATAAGAGGAGTTGTCGTCACTAATATGGGCCGGGCCACGGGCGGTTACACAAGTTAATAACTTTTTTAAATCATTATATCATACATGAGATTCAAGCCCAATTGCATTCAAAGTTGCATATGAAAATTCTCAAAAACGATCTTTAATAAAAAATTGAATTAAAAACTTAATAAAATATAAAATCAATAGAAATATTGAATAAAATAAAAGATAAAGGAAAACAAATGAGCAGTAGAAAAAGTACTAATAATTAAAAAGATCCAAATAGCACATTAACTACATTAACGCCCACGACCTAAAAATTAGGGAAACAAGGAAATTAATGAAAACCCCATAAATAAATTCCAGTAAAAAAAATTCACTGATTTCCATGAGATCGTCGACCAGGGAAACAACAATGCAATCTATATTTCATAAAATATTTATTATTTGTTTCCCCCCCCCCCCCCCCC